CCATCGGGTACATAACGATTTCTGAGCTTGTGTTTTTCCAACAAGGGGCCTATCTAAGATTAAGGCCTACAGAATACTACGTGATACTACTCTGTTGCTATCGGCGACATAAAATGTGTTCAACTGACGCCATTTTCTCAACTGACAAACCATTGTTCCCAATTTCTAACGTAATTATTAAAAAGTTCTATTCTTTGTAAATGCTAATTGATGGTTAAATGTGTTGGACCTTAAAAGAGAACTAGCAAAATGATTTTTTGTTCTAGAGAGGATTTTTGATTTGCCATTAATAATAAAATCAACCAAAAATAAGTACGCGAAACAAGGTATAAAAAGTTTTGCCTTAGCACTTAAAAAAAGAAACATCAACTGTTTTTACACAAAGATCAGATAAATTAGGTTGAAACGGTTTATAGAACGTTATAAATAGCTATTGCAAACAATTTATAAAACTTTTTTTTTTTTTCAAATATTTTGCCTCGTCATTTTTGGGCTGAATTATGAAAATATATGTGAGTATGTTTCCAGCGGGATTTGAGCTGGCTTTATGTGGAGCCGTTTCTTTACAAAGTCATAACTTTGCCTACACCTGTCCAACTGCTTAGGTTGAAGTGGCAACAGAAAGTAAATTTTCTTGTGATCAGTTATATATAAAAATTAATCTGATTGAATAAAGTTATCTTCCATCATTTTTAAATTCTTTCAAACGCTTTCAAGAAGAAAAAAATGACCGCGCTCACACCCAGCCCAGGGAATTGGTGCGTTCCATTTTCTGCACTGAAGAAAATATGGTACCGTCTGTATCAAAGACTTGTTAAAATTCATTAAATGACTAGTTTGATAGTGGACATATTTTATTTCTACGGGGAATGCATTTTAACAGTTTTTAAAACAGTGCATTTTTATATATCCTTTTCGATAATGAAATCGCCCGAACAATCTATTCATTTTTGTCCTTCTTACACACGCGCAGTATTAAAAATGTTTTGTTACATGGTCAAAACAGCCCAAACAAATTGATGTTTACCTGGCCATAAAGCAACAGGGCCATCAAAATGGAAAGAACTGAGGATTATTTTACAGGATGTATGATGCTAATGGTGAATAAAAATTTGTTGGTAGCATATAGTCACCTTAATGACTTGTCATAATTGTCTGATGTTGTATGGACGTGATGTTTGATGCTGGATCTTGTGTAGACTTAACGATTCTTGAGCAATTTAAGCACACATTTATGTACTACATTTCGGTTGGTTTTTAGTGACTCTGATTTCTTGACCATTTCTTGTGAAGCTGACCCACATAAGAAATAAGGTTCACAAGAAATACTGATGATACCTAATCTATAGAAGTACGCATCAACATCAATCATACCCGATTAATTCCATTTAAATCGATTTATTAGATTCTAAACTCAACAACATTTCTAGCGAAGGATCATAACTTACTGATATCCGATACCGTCCGTGATATTTAGCAAACAGATTAATCAAAGGTAATTCCCTCACAATTCAATAAATTTGCTGTAATGAAATATGGATTAAAAAACAAAACACGTCCCCAAAGTCTACCTGCCAACATATATTGGTAAGACTGAGTGTTTCCACATAATAGAGATTGAATATGAAATGTATTTTTACCATCCATTCAATGTGAACAATAGAGGGCAACATACTTGTCAATCGACTTGTCAGTATTTACAGCAAACAACATCCAATCCAAACTGACCCAAGGCATGTAGTACTTAAGTCTCAATCTTCCTTACAACATTCATAACAATTTTGATTCTATTTCTATATGTTTAAAAAAGAGGCCTTTATCTGTATTTAGTAAGACTGTACCTTTTTTTTAAATTTTGGTTTGGTAGTTTTCATTTGTCTGCTTTCTCTTCAGTTTAGGCTATCTTGTTGTTTTTGATTTAATTTTAGTTACTTTTGAATTTCATGATTGTAAACATCTTTTTTTTTTTCTTGGATTATTCACTGTATGTACCAGGGCTTCCTTGAAAAGCAGTGGAATGGATACCCCCTAGTTAAAGAAAGCTTAAATAAATATGTGCCAAAGATAAAGGAGTACTCGGTGGGGGGGGGGGGGGGGAAAAAAGGCAAAAATAGAGCATAAAAGAGAAAAAAACAGAAACACATCATAACTTACACTCAATCATATTAAAATGAAGTAAATATTTTTAAATATTGAATAAAATAGGTTAGTTTGCTTTCAAGTGGTAATTTTGAGTGTGGAAAGACAGACAGACAGAAGAATTTTATAATTATTTATGTATTATGTATGAACTGTATTTTTCTCGCTCCCCGGAAGCGATCTAAAAATACCATTGGCACAGTCCATTTTTCTGGAGGGTGTAAATTTTGCTAAATACGCTAAAACCCGTGTGGTTCTCAGTAGCGTTTATTTAACTTTCACCGGGTAGAAAATGGTTTAGACACCACATTTTCTGAGGAATTACTTTCTCAGTTTACCGTATAAAACGTGTTATCGCTTAATATCCACGTACAATCAATAAATAAATAATGGTTTACGAAACAAAAATATAATTTAGCTTTAATTTAATACCAAATCCGTTAGACTTTGATCACGAAAAAAGTTTAAAAATACGATTCTTGTCACTTAAATTGATTTTTGCGGCGGATGAACACATCAATACCAAGCGAGTTATACATCAAAATGTAGCTGATTCATAGCCTGATAACATGCAAAAGAAATTATTCCGCTAGCTGTAATGGATATCGTGCGATCGTATTTTGAAAACAAATAGGGGTTTTCCAAAGATTTGTTTGCGCGTAAAAATCGGCTCGCCGGCTTTTGACAACTCATTTTAAAATCGTATTTTCTCTGCAAATACTTCATCAATATTGTTAAAAAATGCATGTAAGTAAAGAATAAAGCCAGTTCTTTCAAGATATCTTATTTTTATTGACATACATTCACAATGAGTATTTTATTCTCAACATCAAAATCATGTCATTTCATCAAATTTCATGAATATTTCCGGACTGTGGTAACGCAAAACGGGTTTCATTGGGATACCTAGTATGATGCTTCAAAGATTTAGCTGATTCCTTGAACATAGAGAGTGCTCTATTCATTATCTCAACAACTTCACTGTCTCAAAATTTAAACGATGATTATTATTTTTATATAATATATTTGTAAGTTAACGAGCTAATTATAATTTTCATGTTCCATAGGCCTATGGATGAATAGTTTTATCTTACCTTACCTTATATTATGTTTTTAGTTATGAAAGAAGATACACAAAAGTGCATAAATATATTTGTGTGTTGTATCAAGAATAAAAGGTGCTATGTTCATTCCATCACAATATGATAATATTATACATTTTTTAGGAAAGTGTAATACCGGTAAATAAAATTATAGGGGACAAGTCTGTACATTGAATCAATTAAGGCCCTTTCAGACAGAGCTACAATATCGCAATATTGTGATAAGCATGCTGGCATGGGTTTCTGTCTGAAAGGGTCGATACGCCAATATGCCGGCTTACTTCAGGCCACCTTGCACTCTAGTAATATTGCTGTAATATCGCTGTAATGGTTACTGGCTTGCTCTGTCTGAAAGGGTATACTCAATATTGCGGAAATCAAGCCGACATGTGCATTTATGCATAAACAGACAAGGTTAAATTTGAAAACAATTGAGTGGTGGCATTTAAACCGGCAAAATTACTCCATTCTATAGGGCGGTTTAAGACAGAAAAGCAAAAGATTACCGCAACTTTGCAGAAACAAAGGTGCTATGAGAAAGGGTATATACTGGGTCTTATGCCGGCATGCTTACTGCAATATTGTGGCAATGTCTGACAGGGGCTTTAGAAGGTCTGATGATCTAGGGTCTAAGAGAGATTTGGCCATTCTCACTAGGGACTTTAACTTTTTGATCAGTGAAGAGAGGTGTGTGTATAGAGACCATCACTCTCTACCAAGCCCTGCAGCGGCCAAATAAATAACTATCCGAATGTGAAATCATTTAGGTAAGAGATAAAAATCATGAAAACTCTTCCTCACGTTATCTTGGAAACAAATCTATATCTGCTCCTGTTGTGTAGTAGGTAGGGGACACTACTACTAGTGGCCATAATTATTTATTTTTTTAAATTTATTTTTTAAAGTTTATGTGTATTTATGAAGTTTAAAAAAATATTGCTGCATTATATCTTGGAAATAATTTCACTACTGCTTAAACATCATCATCACCATTGTACTCAAAGAAAGCAGCATCACGCACATCTACCGTATGCCAGTCATCATACGAAACGAAATTATCTTTTTTAACAATATAAAAGGATTAAAACAATGGTTGATATAAAAAAAACCTCTCTAATATCAACTGGTTTAAAACAGCTCTTAGAAGCTACAAGTTCAAAGCAATGACCTAGTGTTCTTTTAAAAGTATTCTCAACTTTTAAGTGATTTTAATAATTTAACAAATTTTAACTTTTTCTTATGTAATAATTTTAAATAAACATAAATACTTATTTTCTAAGTGCAATAATTTGGATATTTTTATTGCTTTTTAACTCTTTTGGGATTTGTATTTTTACTATTAGCTTTAGAGTGATAAACAATGTTTAAATCTTTTTATTGCTGCAATTTTTTAACCTGTTTTTATTAATTTTTACGTCGTTTGTTTTTTCTCTCATGACAAAATGTGAAATTATATTTCTGTGTTTGCAAGGACACCAATGGAATTAACCTATACTTTTTTGGGCTTTTCCATGTAAATTAGGGTCATGTTTTTGTGCAATTTTTTATTTTGTCTGTTTTTTGTATATGTTTTTATGTAGTTTATGACTCTGATTATAAATAAATTCAATCAATCAATCAATATGATCTTACTTGGGGGGGGGGGGGGGGGGGGTGCCGTTGCACCTGACAGCCCCAAGTTTTTTTAAAAATTAGGCTTGTTCTACTAGGCAAGAAAACAAGGACTCTCAGGTCAGATCTGGCTAGCGGACCACCAGTTTAAAACCCAAAATAGGAATACAATTTAGCAAACCTGTAGTGTACAATGTATGCAAAGTATATTTCATAGCTTTTACCTGCTTTGTGAATTTTCACATCTTTGTTTTTGAGCATTGAACACGATGGGGCTAATCCTGTTAGAGGATCCTCTTTTGCAATGTTGTCCTTAATTACCATCATACTGGTCTTGATACAATCCCTGCAAGACAGAGCATATTACCATAATCTAACAAATTTTTACAAATTAGTTGATACCTACCATAGCATTAGATACAAGTAAATTGAAAAATACTTTTAGTCTTAGCACAATGGCAAGATGATTTTGGAAAAAGAACTTATAAACATCGCTCAGTTAAATTATGGAATAATCTATCATCAGACATTCGTAGCTATATTCATTTTTTTTTTCTTATTCCCCTTCTTGGTGATCCTTCCCACGTTCTCCAATATGGGATAAACTTCAGTGGGTAGGCTGCCCACTGGTTCTTAATCTCAGATTTGAATTAGGTTCAAATTAAAGGAATAATAATAATAATAATAATAATAATAATAATAATAATAACTTTGTTGTTTCTCTTTTGTAACAATTAATTTTTTGTGATTAAGATGTGCATTTGTCTTGTCATTGACGTTTCTTACTTTAACATACTGTGTAATTAATACTTTATCAGTATTTTGTTTTTTTCACTTAACTAATAATGAAAAGCAAGTATAATACACATCCCAAGAAATGAAACACACGCCACCGCGCTCTACACCTTTCACGCCATTGCCAAGAATTCCTGGCAATGGCGTGACCAATGCCGAAACTCTCGGAGAATGCATTATACTTTATCTGAATAAAATGAAAAGAAACATAAATGAAGTTAAAAGAAAAAGGAAAAAAAAAAAGAAAAGGAAAGAAAAAGAAAAAAAAATCCTTCTTTTCTTAATTTGTACTAATACTATCGTAGGCTTCTACTTTGCTTTTGTTTTCGTCTATCATCATGTATTACATGTGGGGCTTGCCATCCAAAACCAGACCAAAAAAATAAAAATTGACGTGTTAATATTCTCTCCACATTAGAAGCCTTAAAATGGTGGGTCATTACTGGAACTGACTAACTATTGCCAAAGTTATGAGTAAAAAAAGTATTACAGCTTCTCTGTACTAAAGTATACAAATCTGCAACAAATGTCTAATTACTCTGCTTAACATTAGCAACAGTATTCTGGATTTGAAATGGCAAGACTCATATTATTTGTTAGCAATACAGGAGTAGATTCAACAAATTTCAAAACTTATAATAACTACACGGCCTATATACTCAGAAATACAGTAGCTTCTGTTATCAATCATTGATCAGGCTCTATAAAATCGACTTCTGTATAAAACCAAAATATTTCATACTTCTATAATAGGATGCATTGCTTTTATGACATACAAAATTTAAAATCTTTGTTCGGATGTAGCAGAACATTTTTTTCTGGATTTATTTTACAGTACCAACATAAGGATAGGGTAATATTAAAAGAAAAATATTTACTATAATGCTAACTTTTCTTGTCATATGCAACAGCAGCATTTAGCTGGAATGCTTCTAATCTTATTTAAAAAAAATTATGTAGGTCTGTCTTTGGCATCAATGCTTTTGTCTGGTGATCCTCATGGACAGTAATCCATTGATGCTAATATCCACTATCTTGTTACTTAAGCTGGATTATGTTTGTTTTGATCAAAAAAATCTACTGAATTAAATAGATCAAACATTTAGTGTGCATCATTGCATCACTTCAGCTCTTTTCATACCATCAAATTTTCTTTGACAAAAAACTATTGTATGCCCAAATATAGTCATGATGTGCCCATATATAGTTATGATGTACCTATGTAGTCATGACATGTCATCATGACCATATTTAGGCATGTCACATGTTTTTTTGACAAATAATATTTTAAAAAGTGGAACAAAAGATGTGTATAAGAGACAGACCTTATATTATGTTTTTAGTTATGAAAGAAGATACACAAAAGTGCATAAATATATTTGTGTGTTGTATCAAGAATAAAAGGTGCTATGTTCATTCCATCACAATATGATAATATTATACATTTTTTAGGAAAGTGTAATACCGGTAAATAAAATTATAGGGGACAAGTCTGTACATTGAATCAATTAAGGCCCTTTCAGACAGAGCTACAATATCGCAATATTGTGATAAGCATGCTGGCATGGGTTTTTGCTGTCTCTTATACACATCTAGATGTGTATAAGAGACAGTCTTACACACGCGCAGTATTAAAAATGT